GCGGCAGCGCGCCGCTCCTCACTCCTCCTCATTTCCTCCGACCGCAGCTCCTCTGCAGACCCTCCACATGGACGTGTGGGGTCCAGCCCGTGTCACTGGACAAGGCGGAGAGCGCTACCTTTTGCTGGTTGTATACGACTACACGCGCTACACCACGGTCTTCCCCTTGCAGAGCAAGGCGGATGTCCGCAGTATGATGATCCGCTGGATCCGTGCTGTCCGTCGCCAGCTCAGCGCTCGGTTCCAGCATGACCTCCTGGTCCTGCGACTGCACTCTGACCGAGGTGGTGAGTTTTCCTCCCGCCTCCTCGAGGACTTCTGTGGTGCTGAGGGCATCATCCAGTCGTTCACGCTTCCGGCCTCTCCGCAGCAGAATGGGATTGCAGAGCGCCGCATTGGCTTGGTCATGGAGGTTGCTCGCACCTCCCTTGTCCATGCGGCTGCTCCCCATTTACTGTGGCCGTTTGCGGTCCGTTACGCCGCTGAGCAGCTCAACCTCTGGCCCCGTGTCTCCCACCCTGAGACCTCCCCTACTCTGCGGTGGACAGGCGATGTTGGTGATGCATCGGCGTTTCGGGTCTGGGGGTCCCTCTCTCTTGTACGCGATCTGCCCGCGGGCAAGCTCTCTCCACGCACTCTTCGGTGCGTGTTCCTCGGCTTCCCCACCGACGCACAACTCCCGTTGACATCTTCACCGCCTCTGCAGCCTGTCGCTGTGGACTTTGGTGCTGCTGGAGGTGGTGACACTGGGGGTGCGGACTCTGGGGGTGCTGGCTCTGGGGGTGCTGAGTGTCCTACGGGTACAGGAGGTGCTGGAGGTGCTGCTGCTGGAGGTACTGCGGTTGGAGGTGCTGGAGGTGCTGGGACTGGAGGCTCAGGTGCACGTCGGCAGGAGACTCTCTTGCCGGAGCGGCTTCGCGAGTGGGCTGTCCGGTGGGGCAGCCCCCGTGGAGGAGCTAGCCATGCTAGAGCTGGAGGTGCTGGAGGTACTGGAGCTGGAGGTGCTAGTGCTGGTGTTACTAGAGTTGGCGGTGCTGGAGGTACTGGTGCTGGAGGCGCTAGTGCTGGAGGTAATGGTGCATGTCGGCAGGAGACTCTCTCGCCGGAGTGTCTTCGTGAGTGGGCTGTCCTGTGGGGCAGCCCCGGTGGCGGAGCTGGACGTGCTGGAGCTGGAGCTACTGGAGCTGTAGGTGCTGGTGGTACTGGAGTTGGAGGTGCTGGAGGTACTGGTGCTCGAGGTGCTGGTGCTCGAGGTACTGACGCTCGAGGTGCTGGTGATGGGGGTGCTGTTACTACTGGTATTGGAGGTACTAGTGCTGGAGGGTCTCGTCCTGGGACCGGAGGTTCTGGGGGTGCGACTACTCAGCAGCAGCCGTCTGCGCTTCGCCACCTTCTCAGTCTCCCGCCTGATGTTCCTGAGTTCCCAGTTGCTGGTACTACTCCTCCGTTACTGTTTCCACCGGCTGACCCGTCTCAGCCACTGTTACTGCCTGACTCCCCGCTGCCTGCTCCTGCTCCTCACACTGAGGTGACAGAGTCCCTGACTGAGAGTAGAGAGCCTGCGTCGCGTCCCGTCACGCCTGTTCGTCCTCGTCGTGCTCCTCGTACTCGCCCTCCACCTGTCCCAGGCACTCACATTATGGCACTGATTTTTATCAGAATAAATATGGGAGAAATCTTTAAAGGCTTAAGATCTGGGGGTTCAATCGTACATCGGAAAAAAAGGGGGTGGGGCTATAGACCTGGGGTCTAATCATAAAGTCTTGTCAAATACTAGTGTTACATCATCGGGGGCCACCATTTTGGTATAGCGTCAGCGAAAATCTGATCACGAGCTGACGCGAGACAGTGGGGTGGTCAATTGGCTCTAGTAAACGCATCATTGCGTTACCTTGATATGTTTCCCGTTACAGTTTCACCCGAAATGAAACAATCTACTGGTAGGGAGGTCTAATGTGGGATGCATTTATGAAAGATGGGTCTAATACGAAAGTGGTGATATCATTAGACGACCCACCCCCCCCTCCCCCCTCTCCATCTAGCTACCCAGGGGGCTAGAATTGTGGGGGGCATATTATCCAGGTAAATACGGAAAGATTTGTGGATTCCTGAAACAGGTGTTCATACAAACCATGTTTAACATCACGTCTGTTAGAATAATGGCGTATTCCAACGCAGGGACACCATCCGAAGTTGGGACACCTTGTTGGTCATTTCATTTGCTATCGAATGAAGGTATATATAGGATGTTACCCCCGTAGTTTGCAAGATAGGATGGATTCTCAAACCGAATCTTGCGTCAGAAGTAAAACAGTCTCGATGTGTTGGGTGAACTCAGTCTGCAGAGCTTACCCAACTTACTGACACGTGTGACGTGCGGTGTACTGAAACCGTTCAGATTTTTGTGTGTATATTTCAGAATTGCAATTTTCGTAGCATCGTGTATAGGTCACGTTGACATAGGGGAAGTAGGCATACAGCACAAGAAAACGCTAAAGGTGTCCCAACTTCGCATGGTGTCCCTGCGTTGGAACACGTTCTCATTCAAGGATCTTTGTTGGACTGGATAATGCTGCTAGGAGAGTAGTACCGGTAGTAGTTAATACATCAGAAGTCTTGTGACCTTGATAATAGTGAATGTAAATAACAAGATAATCATAATAAAGCATTAGGAAAATCTATAGTTCATAGCTAGCCATGTATTCTGAGGGGTACATTCCCTTATCCGACTGTTTTACATGCATCGTTATAACAGCTATGGCTATTGCATCTCTGACAAATGCAATTCCTCAACTATTGCAATTCCAGCATTACCTCGTTGCAGCTCGTAACATCCGAGGTAGTTGCGATCAGCGAAGTAATTCGCAACCTCTGGTTCAGGATGGTCAACAGTCGGGATAGTTGACTCCCGATTGTTGACATATGTGCTCTATATGAGCTAACGCGGTGATATTATCGACGCGGTTTCGCTATGAGGCAGTGCGTTAAGGAGATACCTTTGGAAATGCTGTAAAACATTTTGGTTATTCCAACAGCGACTAATCTCTTCATATTTTGAGTAGATGTGTAGATTATAAAATTATATAAAAGCGCATTATTACCCATTTTGAAAAATTTCCATAAAAATGTATGGATGTATTAGAGGAAAAAACATATGTTTGCATTTTGTGTGTTCCATGTGTTTGTTCACAGCTTTGTGTCCAAGCTGATTTTGTGCATTTGGGATAGAACGGATTCGTATCCGAACCTCCTCTGTTGGAGATTTAGTGTGACCATGATACCTTTGTACCCAACGCGAAAGTACGCCCCACTGACATTTTGATTGATCGAATTGTGAATAGTGAATATATGTACACAGATCTCTTCTGTTGACAGCAGACGTGGCAAAATCGGGTGAAATTTCTGGATGATCTAGCGCATCCCCGAGATTGCGGATAACGCACGGGTAAACAAATTTGTCTCAACCGTTCGATTCAGGAATCCTACGGTTTCAGTTTCTATCTGGACCTAAATTCCAGCGTGGCGTGTGTAGCCGCTATGTGAGGTGTGCTTGCATCCGAAAATTGTCCACCACTCCATGCCTCCCATCTGGCATGCCCCCAACCACTCTCCTCTCCTCGGCCTTTCACAATCTCCCGCCTAAGCCACGACTGCCACAGCGACAGCCTCCCTCCCTCCTCCACCCCCTCGTGTCTCTCATTGTTCCGTTGGCACCTTGGAGTTGGAAACCTGATTTTCCTTTCAACAGACCTGATTTTCCTTTCAACAGACCCATCACGTTCCTGAGGCCATCTCCTGCCTCGATCCACTCCCAGCAGCCATACCTAACGCCTGCTGCAATGGAGGCTGTTGCTAGGAACGTTGTGTCTTGTCCTTGCGTGGCTGCCGCTGCCAGGACCTCAGAGTCTTTCTCTGCTCGCAGCACCGTTGCTGCGTCAAAGACGACCCTCTTCGGCGGTGCTCGTCGCAATGCCCTCGTCGCCAAGGTGCCAGTTGCTGCTGGCAAGGCCTGCAGGTCTGTTGTCACCATGGCAAAGGCCCCTGCTGCTGCTGGCTACGCAGCTGCCCTGATTGAGCTTGGCCAATCCACCAAGACCCTTGAGGCCATCCACAAGGACGTGGAGGCCCTCTCTGGGATGATCAACAATGCCGAGCTCGCGAACTTCTTGGCAAGCCCCGTCGCTTCGGAGGAGCAGAAGAAGTCAGTGATTAAGAACCTTGCAGCTGATGCCGGTTTCAACGCCTATACCGCCAACTTCCTGAACGTTCTCGTTGACAAGAAGCGGATGGGCATTTTCAAGGAGATCGCCGCAGTGTTCGAGGAGCTGTACTGCGACATCACCGATACTCAGGTCGCCATTGTGACTTCGGCTGTGAAGCTAGAGAACTCGCAGCAGGCCTTGATCGTGAAGAAGCTGCAGAGCATGACCGGGGCGAAGAACATCAAGCTTAAGAACGTGGTTGATTCGTCGCTGATCGCTGGCTTCATCGTGAAGTACGGCAAGGATGGCTCCCAACTCATTGACATGAGCGTGAAGGGTCAGTTGGATCGCCTTGCGCAGCAATTTGACCTGTCAGACAATGCCCTGTCTGCTGTTTAGGGCCGTATTTGACGATGCTACTCTTTTTAATGTACGTAAGTTAATCGCAGGTATACCATTTGTTCGTAATTCTTGTTATCAGGTGATTGAGCAACCACCCAAGTATAATACACAGCTGATGTTCCTTCGGAGCCTTCGATGCAGTGTCTTCCTGTCTATACTACCTCTGCCTGTACAGATGAACTGATCCTGCTTACTCAGGTTAGCTGGTGCCCAAAAAATAGATCTAACCATACGCTCGACAGCCATCCATGACGAGGATTATTACCTAGGGTTGGTCATCATATTAGTGCCATCAGCTCAGTAACCAGTCAGCCAGATCAGAGCTGGACACTGAAAAAGAAGTTTCAACTTTCACATGAAATCATTGCCCTGAGATTAGACATCACATGCACGGGTCTACATAAACTGGTCCACTATGACGTCTTTCAGCACCTCCATTCTGGCAATCACCGCTGGGTTCATCAGCGAGCTCTGCTGCCTGCGCTGAGCATAGTACGCATCCAGCACTTGCTCTATCACCTCCAGAAGCTTCTCCGGAGTTCTGCACAGCAAGAGTAACAACAAGGTGCAGCAAACAAGACACAGATGAAAAATCGTGGGCATAGGCTAAAGAGCCAGAGAAGCATGAGTCACTGACCAAAGAGCGGACTACAGAAGGATAGGAAAAAGAGCTAGATAAGCCAGGCTTTTATGCTTACGTGTAGAGCATGTCTTCTGAAGCGTTCTGCACTTCAAGTTCTCCTCCAGGCGAGAATGCGTTGGTGAGCTCTGTGAGCTGCTGGCGGGGGTCGTCTATAGCGAGTACGTGGCGCAGGATGCGCACCTCCTTGGGCACGAGCATGCGCATGTTGATCTGCGCCTGCTTGTACAGATGATACATGATGTCCTTCACCTGAGGGGGTGGCGTGAATGAGAGGAAGGACGGCGAGTGCAAGGATATGGGAGTGCGCTTCCCAGCAGGCCAAGGGAGAGGGAGTGGAGTGGTGTGGGGCGGTGCATGGGCATGTGCAAGTGGACCTGAGGCAGGGTGTATAGGTGATGCATGATGTCCTTCACCTAAGGGGTGGCGTGGCATGGGTGAGTGGAGCGGAAGGTTGGCACATGACGGCACATGGATGAGGCATGCACAAGTGGACCTGAGGCTGACACCTGGGGGGGTGCTGCATGATGCACTTCAACCCATCGCACCTCATCTTTCATCATGTTGCTCTCCTTGGCAGCAGCCCACGCCTTGGTGATCATGAGCATGAGCGTCGAGTCCAGCTGCTGCCGTGCTGCCAGCTGGTCGATCTTCCCACACGCCTCTGCCAGGCTGCCGCTGCCCATGATGTCGTCAAACTTGGCCTGTGCTGCTTCCACTGCCACCTCATCCGCCTCCACCTTGTCGTGAATGTCCACCGCTGTCACGCACTTGGCTGCCAGGGATGCGATCTCTGCATTGGATAATGGGAGATATGTACAGACGGGTAGAGGGAGGTAAAGACAGGTTGAAAAAGGTAAAGAGAGTCAAACTTGGCCTGTGCCGCCTCCAGAGCCACCTCGCCTGCCCTTCACCTTGTCGTGAATGTCCACTGCTGTCACACACTTGGCTGCCAGGGATGCGATCTCTGCACATGGAAAGGGGAGGTATGTAATGTCGAGAGAGGTGCAAGTGCAGCCAGCCAGGTAGAGACAGGTAGAGAAAGTGAGGGTGAAGCTTGTCCTCTTCCCGTGAAGATGCAGGCACAGCAGGTGCACGGACACGACGTGGCCTGCAGGTGCTTAACACTACCCCCGAGTAAGATCCCCTTTGCAGTGCCACACCCCATCTCGCCACTCACCGTCCTGCCATTAGTGGGTTGTCATGGATGGCCTGGCACAACCTCTGCAGGTGCTGAAAGGACTCCCCCCCTTCAAGTCCCCCATCGCTCTCACTCACTCTTCTACCGCTCACATCTCACCCTTGTACCACTCACCGTCCTGTCGCTGCCGGTTGTCACGGCTGGCCGGGCACATGATCTGCAAATGCTGAAGAGACTACCCCACGGAGTTCTTTTAAGCCCCTTGCAGACTCAAGAAGTGTCCCTCACCTCGCCCTGCACCCCTCATCTTCTCACCGTCCTGCCGCTGAGGGTTATCAGGGTTGGTCTGGCAAAGGATCTGCAGATGCTCAAAGAACTCCCCCGTGAAGTCCCAACCCAATCACTCCCACTCACTCTTTAACCACTCCCACCACTCCCCATCCCCCGCTCACCATCCTGCCGCTGCGGGTTATCATGGTTGGTCTGGCAAAGGATCTGCAGATGCTCAACGAACTCGCCCGTGAAGTGCCCCCCTGCAGTGCTGGTCACTCTCACTCACTCACTCACTCACTCTTTTATCGCTCAATATCCCACCACTCCGCCACTCACCGTCCTGCCGCTGCGGGTTGTCATGGTTAGCCTGGCAAAGGATCTGCAGATGCTCAAAGAACTCCCCCGTGAAGTCCCTCCGCCGCCTCGCCACCAGCCCCTCCAGTGCGCCCTCCGCCTCGTGTTCCTCCACCAATGAGAAGAGCTCGTTGTGCGCCGTCATTGAGTCGTCCACCTGGGGGAGGGAGGGGGCAGGGGGAGGAGAGAGGTCAGGGGTGAACGTGCCACCAGCACCCTCCAGCGCGCCCTCCGCCTCGTGCTCCTCCATCCACCAATGAGAACAGCTCGTTGTGGGCCGTCATTGAGTCGTCCACCTGCGGAGGGATAAAGGGGAGGGCAACGGAGAGGTCAGAGCGGCCAGAGCGGCCAGAGGCCAACCTGCCACGAGTCCCTCCAGTGGCAAGAGCTTGCATTGCAAAACGCTACCAGCACAGCACAGCACAGCACAGCACAGCACAGCACAGCACAGCGACTCAGAATCGTACCTTTCCTGATGCGATGCGAATGTGCAGCGCACCATGGCACTTGCCTTGCCAGCGTGGCACGCCCATGGAGGCGCGGAGAATGCCACGCCGTGCCACCCGCATGCCCAACACCCCCGTAAAACCTCGAGAGCCAAAATCCTTGCACCCTGAACTACAAATCCCAAAATCCCTTGTACCCAAAATCTAAACCCTGCGCCCCTCACCTCTTTAAGCCTCCGCGCGAGCCTATACAGCTCCGCGGCCTTGTCCGGCTTGCCCTGCTCCTCGAAATCGCGCGCGCGCAGCTTGGCGCGCGCAAAGAAGTGCGGGCGGATGCGCGCCCACTCGGCGCTGAAGGCGAGCAGCAGGCGCCACTGCGCGGGCTCGGGCTTCTCCACCCAGAACACGTCCACCAGCCGGTCGCACACGCGCGACATCTTAAAGCCCGCCTCCACCTCGGGATCGTCGCCCTCCTCCTCCTCTCCTTCTTTCCCTTCTTTCCCGTCCTCCAATTTCGTCTCCTCCTTATCCGTCTCCTTCTCTTGCTGCTCCGCGACCTCCGCTTTCGCCTGGTTCGGTGCTTTCCCCCCCTCTACCTTCCCACCGGCATCTCTCTCCCCATCTGCGCCCCCGCCTTTCACTCTCTCCTCCTCCTGCAACGTTCGATCCTCGTCTGCTGCCGCTTGTAACGGTTTGGAGGTCTCGACACTCGTTATGGAACCGGAATTGGAAAGTGAGCGTACGCGATATAGGGGAAACCGATGCGATGGCAGAGCCGAGGGAACAAGAGCGGCACGAGCAGGAGTGACAAAAGATTCTCTAAAGGCGCCGCTCAATAACGAGGATCGAGTCTCCCTCAACCGGCTGCAAACGCCACACGGGGCTGGATCGGACAAGAATGACTCGCGCTGCGAGGAGCGTAGACGGGATTCAGACGGGCGGAATCCGGATAGACGGATTCCAGGCAGACAAGGATCTCTGCTGACGTGTACAGCGCCAGCTGGCCTAAGCTGCTGCATGCACTCCCGGCTTCTGCTCGAGTTCGGGATCGCGCGCGCTCCGTTGGCCGCAGAAATTGGGGGCCGACAGGGTGACGAGACTCGCAGAGCAAAGTCTGTCGCCATTACGGCGAATCCAGGAAAGAAAGGCGACGAAGGAAATGAAGAGCGAGGCTTCGGCGATAGCAGTCAGGGTTCAGCTGGTGGAAATGGCAGCGCGGATAATACTCCTAGCGCGTTAAATGTCGCGACAAAAGACGAATCTGCCGCACGAATGGCACGCGAAGCTGATGTGATGCCTGCACGAGCGACGAACGATTTGACGGCAGTCCAGGCACCGTGCAGCAGAAACAGCCTTCAAATCGGAAGCTTGTGGAAGGTGGATGACGGTAGCTTGAGCAAGAAGTCATGAATTTGGTTGCAAGAGTGGAGCGGTGTTGATCTGATGGCCTCCAGTGTCGATCAACTCGTTTCGGAAATGTTAACTATTTATAAGTGTTACATATTTATATGCACTGTACATTTTTTCAATCAAAGCATGGTTGAGAGGGCATGCAATTGTCTATAACTCTGTGTACTCTGGAGTCCGATTGCATAAAAGAAACTTCAAACAATGCCAAAGTCGAGCAAAGCATTCTAAGAGGGACTTGACATCAGAACACACTGGGTGTCAAAAATTAGAAACCAGAAACATAATCAGACTGGAAACAAATGACTATCTACACAGGTAGAGAAGACAACACCGAGAATGCAGTTGCTGCTCTCATGGAGCTGACAGGGCAATGCTTGCATGCCAGGCTGCTGCTAGTCAAATCACAGGAGGAAGCTGCTTAGCACACATACTCTGTCAGTCACTGCCAGCCACTGTCAGCACACCCCTAAGGCACCTTACCCCAGCAATGCTCATTACACACTAATCTACTCCCCCCACTACCCCGGCCTCCCACTTTCCATGCACGTCCCAAACCAAAGGTCACGATTCGCAGATGTAAATCACGACGTGCTGTGGTCGGTCGGATTCCCCTTGCGCGCCCACGGGGTTCCACGCGCTCTGCATGGCGCAGTTGTTCTCAAGAGACGCCACCTTTCCGCCGCTCGTGTACCGCGCCAGCAGCTGGCTGCTGCTTCCCCACAGCTGCTGCACCTGCGCGTGCCACGCGCCCCACTGCTGCTTCTGCTGCGCCGTCTTTCCGCCCTCCGCCTCCCCCCCCGCTTGCGCCTTCCCGCTGGCGGAGCTCTGGTGCTCGAGCTCCGCCATCTCTCCGCCACTGCTCAGCGCCGGCTCGCTGCGCGTCGATAGGCTTCGATCTGATAAGCTGCTGCTCTGGGTGCTGAGCGTCGGAAGGCTCTCGCGCGCGCTTCGGCTGCCGAAGTACGAGCCGCTTAGGAGCTCGCTGGCAGCGCGAGGCATTTTGGGAACGTTGATGGACGGAAGCGTCATGATTGGCTGGATGAACGGAAGGGTGAAGCGTTCGAGACGGTGATAAGCGAAATGTGCGCGGCTTGAAACGGGAAACAGTTTCTGCGAGAGTATGGTTTCTCACGTGCTTGCTCTGAAAGAAAGTTTGCCTGTAACGAGGTCGAGGGAAGGGAGAGAGGGGAGAGAGAGAGGGGAGAGAATATTGAGTCGAGGAATGGCAGGAGTGAAGGGCGTGTGATGGAGGCCGCGAGTTTGACACTGGAGACTTAGCACGCGACGCTGCGTCGAGGGCGCGAAGGAACGCTGCGATACAATGCGACGTAATTTATGGCAATGCAAGAGTGAGAAATGCGGGAGAGGTCATCACGGCGTGCAACCACGCGCTGCATATGCCCTCGAATCGCCGAGCGACACTCAGGGGCCGTCAGCAATACGAAAGAGGCAGCATGAGAGAGCATTGCAGGCTGTTACCTGAACACTCGGAGATAACCAGAGCGACGTGGACGGCCTCAGAGTGTCGAGATGCTGGCGTCACAGGTTATTGAAACTTTGTGCGAAGAACATGGGTTCCCGACATGATCATGCTCCAGCAACTAAGTCTTCTTCAGTGACTCTCTTAGCCTGTCCCTCTCGTGCCTGCTTTCCTCGCCTTCTTTTCCCCCCTTCTATCTCTACTCCCAGGTGTGTAAACTACACAAACGAGTTGTTGCTGACGGAGAGGCAGTCAAGTGAAAATAGAGTCTGTGGCTGATTCGTTGACTTGGGATTGATTGACACACAGATGGATGGCTGTCTGCTGCTCTGCTGATGGCCTCGGTTCTCCCGGTTGGTCTGTTTATGCGAAACCGGATTCCGTTGCGTCTCTGTCCAGGGCCGTGCCCGAATCACCCGCCGAGCCTGCCAGGTCGCGGCGCGGAGAGCGGAGAGAAAGCAGAAGTCTGGGTGTGGAAGGCGTTCGGCTCGTTTGGCGAACCAGGAACATGCCCGTGTGCCACCGAAGTTTTGGCGGCGAGTGGTAGCCACCCTACCTCAGGTTTGTCTCTATCTGATAAGATTTACTCGCATGGGAACATGCGATGCAACGACATTGCCCGACGATGTTACCGCACGCATGCAGGAGAGACCCAGTTCTTCGCCGGTTCCGTTACGTGCAGAAAAGCAGATTTGGGCCGCAAAGCTAGGCTCGGTTGGACTAGGCCTAGACCCAAGCAAGCACAAAACCGTACGAAGCGGTATCACCAGACCAATGTGAAGCCACCATGACCACCACAGCACAGTGCCAAAAAGCAGCATGGCGCGGTGCGATCGGTCATCTCCGCCACAGCAGTTTCCTTTGCAAATTACGGCCAAGCGACGATAATTCAAGAGGCAGAGCGTACATGGCAACCGCTTAGTTGGTATTTTTGGGTTGCATAGTGCAAGGAAAATTCATTTTCCTTACTTCGCGCCCCTGCATAACACGTACACGACGGTTCTGCCAACGGCACCCAACAGTGAAACGTTACCCGCTTGCGACACTCGCCTCGACCATTGCTCCCGCCACTGTACACCAGGGCCCTGGTTATCAGACCATTTGGTCTGATAAGTCTGAATTTCATACGTGATTTTTTTTATTCATCTGATTTCTAAGACAGTGTGTTTATTTTCATCTGATGCCTAAGACAAACGTTTTAGGTTCGTATGATTTTTCAGAGCATGTACAATACTTAGTCTGAATTTACAGATATCGAGTTCGGTCTCAGAATAGGAATGCAACGGAATGCTTGAAACTAGAAAGTGTGAGAGTACAAATATGCAACCCTAACAACTGTACTCCCTATTGTGCTACTCACTGTAGCCTACAAGCATAGAATTACATTTGACACACCCCCATAGGCTAAGTGAGGGGCATCAAAGCAAGCAAGGTGAACAAACGGTCACAAGACCAGTCAAAGCAAGAAACAAGGCAAGCTCAGGGTGGATCTCAAGGACACCACACAAATTCCGAGCGCAAGCAAGCGGCCACAAGGCCAGTTCAAGAGTTTACTAGGATATAAATAGGAAGCACAACAAGCAGAGCAAACAACAAGACTACAGCAACCGAGGGCCTACCTCAACAAGCCCCAACTGCACACAGAACCTGTGGTGATCACCAAGCGCCAAGGCCTTGGTAAAGACGTCTGCAGTGTTGGCCTCTGAGGCCACAAAGTCCAGGCGTGCCTGGCCGCGTCGCTGCAGCTCTCGCAGGAGGAAGTACCTCACGTCAATATGCTTCACTCTGCTCTCCAGTCGAGGCTCTCGACACAGGAGGATCATGGCCTTGTTGTCAGCGTACAAGGTTGGTGCAGAGCGAGGCCGCTCACCAAGGTCGGCGAGCAAGAAGGTCAACCAGCGAAGCTCCTGTGCCGCCATGGCACCAGCGTAGATCTCTGCCTCTGCACTGGAAGTAGCCACAGACGACGACCGTGTAGACCTCCACGACACAGCACCAGCTCCCAGACTGAAGCAGTAACCCTGAGTCGAACGCTGAGTCTCCACGTCGTCAGCGTAGGAAGAGTCGCAGTGACCAGTCAACGCCACTGGCTGAGTCCCTCCAAGCACAAGCCCCATGCCTGATGTAGTCGCCAGGTACTTCGCCACCCTCACAGCAGCTGTCCAGTGGACAGGACGGTGTCTCCCAGTCGCAACAAAGCGAGAGAGGACGCTGAGGGGAAAGGCGAGGTCCGGCCGAGTACAAGTCATCAGGTACATGAGGCAGCCCACAAGCTCTGCGTAGGGACCACTGGACTCAAAAGGCTCGTCGGGAAAGGGGCCAGTGAGTCTGTGGTCAACAGCAAGAGGAGTGGGCTGTGTGGTGGAGAACTGGAAGTCGAACCGCCGAAGGACCTGCTGCACCATGTGTGACTGCGTCAGTGTGATGGTACGAGCGGCTCTGTCCCGGGTGATCTGCAAGCCAAGGTAACGCTGCAGCTCACCCAGGTCAGTGCACTTGTGTCTCTTCTGCAGTTCGAACTTCACCTGAGCCAGGGCTGCCCTGTCTGCTGTAGCAAACACCAAGTCGTCGACGTAGACAAGGATAAAGAAAGGAGTAGAACCCGCTCGAACAAACAGCGACGGGTCGGCGGAGAACGGGCTGAACCCAAGGTCACGAAGCGTGGAGCGAAGAGTGTCGTGCCACTCACGGGGCGACTGGCGGAGACCGTAGACTGGTCGCCTCAGGCTCCACTGGGTCCCAGGTGGGAAGGTGTCAGTGAAGCTAGGAGGACGGCGCAGCCAGATCTCCTCGTGCCGTCGGCCCTGGAGGAACGCAGTGGAGAAGTCGAGGGAGTGCAGCTCGTAGTCTCGCTGCGCTGCTATGTGGAGTAACACCCGAAGAGTAGTCATCTTCGGGGTCGGGGCGAAGGTCTGGAAGAAGTCAACCCCCTCACGCTGACTGAAGCCCCTAGCCACGTAGCGCGCCTTGAACACCGGCGGTGCTCCAGGCGGCCGCTTCACCTTGAAGAGCCACATGCCATCGACTACGTTCGCCCTGGGAGGGGAAACTGCGTCGACGTAGGTGCCTGTGGATCTCCAAGACGCCAACTGTGAGTCCATGGCCGCTTTCCACTAAGAGGCCCACGCCCCTGACACTGCCTCGCGGTAAGTGCGAGGAGTCGGTATGTCAAGGGCGTCGGGGTCTCCCTCAGGGGAGAGCAGCATGGCACACACAGAGGGAGAAGCGGCTGCCCAGTACTCCAGCTCAGACTCTCTGTCCTCTAGGACGTCACAGCCAAGGGCAAACTCACCCCCGACGGACAGAGGACGGTAGGGAGGAGCTGGCACCACACGGGTGGCGTAGTCAAGGCGGCTGGCGGCAGCAAACTCAGCGACAGCGGCAGTGAGAGCAGAGACCGACGACGGAGGGAAACGAGAGTCGGTGACAAGAGTGGCGAGGACACGTGCGGCAACAGGACGAACAGTGCGGTAGTAGTCAGTGATAGGAGTGGGGAGGGCTGGGAGAGAGGACGGAGGAGGAGACGGGAGAACGGACACAGGAGAAGGAGAACGACGACGAGACGAACAAAGGAGGGCAGTGTGGAGGTCAGTAACAGGGGACGAGTGACGAGCACGCGGAGGACAACGAGTGACCAAGTCGCGACGGACCGAAGGAGGAGGAGAATGGGGAGGAGGAGAAGACCAGACCGCCGGACGGTCGTCAGGAGGAGGCAACGGAGGAACAAACACAGGAGGAGAGGAGGAAAAGCCAAGGGCCCGCAGGCCACTCACAGGTGGGAACAACTGCCGCTCCAGAGGAAGCTGCGTTGGCGGCTGCGGCTGCTGCTGCTGCGGCGGCGGCTGCGGCTGCTGCTGCTGCGGCTGCTGCTGCGGCTGCTGCTGCTGCTGCTGCCGCTGCTGCTGCTGCCGCTGCTGCTCCAGAAGGTCCAGCACCCGCAGCTCCTGCCGCTCCCTCTCCAACCGCTCCTGCTCCTCACGCTCACGCCGGCGGGCAGCCTGGGGTCGTGTGTCGTGGCGGTGGGGAGGCGGAGTGGACTCCACAGAACCAGGGTCAGACTCCTCAGACTCAGCACCCCCAGAACCAGCACCTCCAGTGCCAGGACCTCCAACTCCAGCACCCCCAGAACTAGCACCACCAGTGCCAGCACCTCCAGCTCCAGCACCCCCAGAGCTAGCGCCACCTGCGCCAGCACCTCCAGCTCCAGCACCCCCAGAGCTAGCGCCACCTGCGCCAGCACCTCCAGCTCCAGCACCCCCAGAGCTAGCGCCACCTGCGCCAGCACCTCCAGCTCCAGCACCCCCAGAGCTAGCGCCACCTGCGCCAGCACCTCCAGCTCCAGCACCCCCAGAGCTAGCGCCACCTGCGCCAGCACCTCCAGCTCCAGCACCCCGCGACCGAGTACCCCCAGACCTAGCACCGCCAGTGGCTGCACCTCCAGCTCCAACACCAACCGAGTCCACAGAAACCTGTCGCGGAAGTGCCGAAGGCTGCTGAGGGGACTGTGAGGAGGACTGCGGGGAGGGAGACGCTACCTGACGCGCGACCGAGGGTAGAGGGGTAACGTGGGACACACCAGACGGGGCAGGACCAGGGGGGGGCGGGGGTACCGGAGGAGCGGGAGCAGGAGGAGGAGAGGGTGCGAGGAAAAGAGGGGGAGGGGGTATCGGGAGACCT